ACAACCTCCTCCTATCACCCGTAGTTTTCCGAACTACGTTGACTCTGACTTTTCCGTTGCATGACGGAATACGCAGGCATAAGGCGACGATGTCCTATCAAGTCAGTTCTTTCTCTTTACTCCCGTTTAGCAGTAGCTTTTGATAACTTTCACCCATAGATTAGACAACAAGCGTGGATCCCGTTGAGTACAACAGACGTGAGGGGTGCTCATACCTTCCCCTTGCGTAACCGACTCCCGAATCCAAGATTTGGTTGCGATGACCTTGTCTTTTTTGTTCTCTTAGGTTTTCTTCGATCGTTTCCTTTCCCTCTCTTTGGGATAGATAAAGTTCGCTTGCGACTCTTCTGTTTGTTTTCGCCGACCCTTTTCGCAGTTGCGACACTAGCCATGAAGGACACCAACCTATAATAACCGACTTGGTCCTCCTCGTCCATAGTCCCTACCCGTATGATATATTGATATGTGCCCCTCCTGAAGTGCTCATTTGACCAATCTAGGGGCACCTTCGGCACCATTACTTCGTCCCTCTGCCCGTTCCTACGCCGGTACAACGAGGCACACACCTCGAGAGAAACAGGCCAAACCATAAATAAACGTTCTTTAAAATCCCTGACAGAGTCCATATACGTTCGAAAAAGCCTCCTCAACTGCTTCAGCGACACCCATCCTTGTCGGCCATCTACCGTCTGCCTCTGCAGGTGGAAAATCCGAAAGAACAGGGTAAGGGTGGCCCCGATCTCCAAATACCGACAGACGAGCTCATATGCCTGAATGAAGGCTATAACGTTGGGTTGTAGCTGGGAGGGTGCCAGCTTCAACCAGTTGAAGACACCCAATTGGAAATCAGTGAAGGGCAACCGAAGACCCGCCTCGTTGAAGCAAAACTCATACACGGGGAACCTTATTTTCTCATAGCTCGAGCATATACGGTGATGGTCCCGTAGCCGGTACGCTTGAAGAGCCCGCACATCGGTCCTCAATAGTCATAAAGGCGCCGACGTCGTTCTCGATGAAACAAGATGGTGTGTTTAAAGGTTCCTCTGCGACCTAGTCCTCGACAGTTCGGGCCTGCCCCGCGACAGGTGGGGTCACCGGGGACTCTGGCTCCATGTCAACTTCCATGATTCCTATTCCCCACGCGACCATGTTCACCTGAAAAGCAGAAGGAAATAGTGAATTCAACGTTTCAATATCAAATTCACCCTTCCACCACAAATCAAGTGAAAGAGCGATGATGACGACTACCACGACTTGGACTCCTCCTCAACGGTAACACGACCACGCGCCAATGACAAACGTCTCTGGATTATTCATTCGGCGACACCTCACGTCCCCGTGACATTCATCGCTACCTAGCGCTCCTCCTTGTGACGTTCATCTAACCCTATCCTATGTCCCAAGGGCGTTCATCTAGCCCTGTCCTACGTCTCTGGGACATTTATCTACCTTATTCTACGTCCCCGGGGAATTCATCCGTACCCTATCGTGTGTCCCCGGGAAATTCATCCTAATGTCTCAAGTGACCTCGGGGCCGTCATCCCTGGTCAAGGGGATCCCGCCGTATTCGCCGGAGAACCCACGCTCTCCTCGGGATATTTATCATGTCCACGACAGAGGACACTGAAATTAAGAAAAATGAAAGAGAAGAAGTAGAAAACTTATTAGATGTGGTAGAGACGGCAGAATGTGTGGCGGACGATATGGTGGCAGTACTGTGCGACAGTGCATGTACGGGAGATCCAGATAGCACGTATGATAGTGAGTGAGTGCGAAAATGGTAAAAGGGCAGGCACCTGTCTATTTATAAACCCAAAACGTGACTCGAAGTGCCCCTAGGCACTCGAGTGCCCTAGGGTAGCCGCCCTAAGTGGAACAATAGGCGTCAGACACGTGGCCACCGCGAACGGTCGCGTCCCTTCGTTCTCCCCTTCGAGCACAGGCAAGAGGATGTTCGACAATCTTCCACCTCCTCGACCTGATAGCCCGACAAGACCATGATCCTCGCCTCCTAGTGTCCTCAACATGGCAGTCCGGCGAGCTTCATCCTCGTCCTTCTTCGTCCCCGACACGATTACCATCAAGTCATTGTTCCTTCACATCGAAGCTACGACTTAGGGGGCTCCTCTTCTGAAGTGGGCCCAGACCTACCCATCCGTCAGACAGGCCCAACCCAATGCTGTATGGGGAAGGCCCGTCAAGGCCTAAATCTCCTAATGTCGGGCACGAGTCTAGATATGCCGGGAAGACCCACGCGTCTTCCATACGTTCTCCATGTGCTCCCCCCACGAGGACACTTCATCAGGCAACTACCCACCTCTGAAAGAGCTGGTCAACCCACCTTTCGGAGATCACAGAACAGTTGAACTAGGGAGAAGACTGCGTGTTGGTCTTCACTACGCCACGTAAGCCCTAACAGTCACTTGGGTTGGGCCTGGAAATCCAACCCAACACAAGTGACCGTTGGTCCTGCGTCGGGGTCTCACTATAAATATCCTCTTTCACTAGAGGGTCAAATATTCCATTCTCTACACCTAACTTCTGTATTTGCTCCCACTTTGGTCCTTTACTCACTTAAGCATCAGAGTGTCTTGCAGGTACACCCCTTCCTCCTCCCTACATCCATTGAGCAGCTTCCAGTCGACAATGCGTGACCAGTCAGCAATCTCTTCTGATCAGGTGCGATCAATAACCATACAAACTTCTAAGTTTTATCACTCTGTTATAATTTTTCTTTCAACCACACTTCATCATCATTACATGTCTCTTTCAAACATAGTCATATTGTCTAGTTCCATATTAGTTTTGTTCAAGTCAATATTGTTTGTCGTTGTTAATTATGAGTTGTTGGTCATCGTTCAACTCAAATTTGCTTATTATTGTTCAATTAAGTATGTTGTATTGTTTATTTTTTGTAATTCTATCTTATTTAATTTAGGTATTCTTAATTATTTGAAATTTATTTTAGTTGTTATGTTCTATTATTTTAATTTTGGTTTGAATTAGTTTAACTTATTTTATTGTAATTTTTTATTTATTCGGATTATTCTTAATTAAAGGTTAAAATTAGGTGTAAAATTATGTTGTATTATTATATGTACTATTGATATTGTTGTATTAAATTTGTAATAGATTTTTGATATATTTATTTTATTAAGTTGTGAAAATATGATTGTGTATGACATATCTATGAAATTTAGTTTCACATCCCCTAATCTAAATTCAAATCCATCTTTAAGAGCTGAAAGACCTTTCATAATTGCATTCCAAGTAATTGATCCCGATTTCTTTTTCATATTAAGGAACATTTTCTCACTGATGCATTTATGCTTCGAAACTTGGACCCACAAGGAATCACAATCCTAATGGAGATCCCAAACCAACTTTCCCAACATAGAGGTAATTGTCTTTCTTGCTTTCTGGATTCCAAGACCACCCAATTTTTTGTGCTTGGTGATTTTATTCTAGCCAACGAGATGCACACCAGAGTTTGAATTACCTTTCCATAAAAAATTCCTAGCCATTCTATTAATAAAATCACAAGTTGGCTTAGGTAGCCAAGCCACTTGCATATAATAATTTGGAATGCAGTTCAGAACCGACCTAACAAGGATTAAACGACCAGCCTTGTTTCACAATTTATGTTGCCAAGATGATAATCTCTGACTGATTTTCTCCTCTAGAAACTCAAAGTCCTTGCGTTGAAGACAACCATGCAACACATGGAAACCCAAATACTTATTTATAACAAGAGTTCGCTTGATACATGTACTAGAGACAATTAAATATATTTTACTCCTTTTAGCGGTAGTGGAGAACATTCACTTTAAGGTCAACAAACATGGACAAATGATTCAAGATATCAGAAATGATCCATGCTTGAGAGTTAGAAACCTTTGCCAAAAAAAAAGAACATCTAATAAAAAAATAAATGTGAATGTGATAGCGGGGGTCCATTACGAAATAACCTGTCTGGTTTTCAATAACCTTCATTGACTGCCTTAATGATTATCTGCAATAAGAATTCAATGTAAATAACAAAGAGATAGAGTGAAATGGGGTCACCTTGCTATAATCATCTAGTTGAAACAAAATTTAGTAGTCGTCACTCATTTCAAAGAATATACATAGAAAAACTAATTACACATTGCACGATTAACTTTATAATAATGGGATAAAACTCGTTTCGCTTCAAACAAAATTCTAAAAAAATTCAATTAACACGATCAGAAGCCTTTTTAAAATATATTTCAAATACCATGTCCATTTTTTTCTCTTTAGATTTAAAATGAATTATTTTTTTTTGGAGAATAATGAGTTTACCTTGCCAAAAAAACTACTATAAAAGAGTCTAACTTTTTGATTTAGATAAGGATGCATTTTATTAACCATAATTTTCATAATAAATTTATAAATAATATTGTTCAAACAAATGAGTCTGAATTCCTTAAAATAGTATTGCAAAAACTTGTAAATTTAAATATTTTGTCAACTATCTCTTATTTTTTAACTTAAGAGTTAAGATTGATAATATTGCACAAACTTGTAAATTTAAACATTTTGTCAACCATCTCTTATTTTTTAACTTAAGATTGATAATGTTTTATTTTTAAATAAAAGATCACATATTTTTTATCCTTTTAAGTTTCATATACATTCTTATTCTTATAAGATGAATTATTATGTTTTAATTTTGTAGTCATTAAAAATGATCACGTCAACAATTTTAAATATAAATGTGATAAAATAATCAAAATCGTTTCAATTTAAAATAGTAGTTAGTTTCTTGAATGAGTGAAAATAAAAATACCAAAATTATAATTAAGCTTTTAATAAATTTCCTCAATAAACGAAACAAACTTGGGGACTGAAATCCCGAAGACATCACTAGCAATTAATTGATTTTTTTTACATGTTGCAATTTTGTTGTTAAAATAACATTAAGGATAGAAAGATAGAAAAGTGATTTTTTGTGAAGGAAAAAGTAGCTTTTGCTTCCGATGGAGAGTAGTCAGCTTCTTCTGACACGTACTTGCTGCTGCTCCTTCCCACTTCAATCTTCATCTTCATCAATTCTCCACTTTCCAACCTCTCTTCCCTTCCGATTCCGACGCAGCCAAACTAACTCTTCCATCAATTCTTCCTCATCACCAGACGCTACCTCTCCTATTCCATGTAACTATCTCTTTCTCTATTTTCCAACTCAATTTCATTATTTACTTTATTTCTAATTCATGCATTAGGGTTTCTTTGTTAGGTACAAAGTGATTAACGAGTTTCGAATTATAATGTTAGGATTAAGTACTGTTTACAAGATAAGTTATCCGGTGAAAAAAGTAGATGAAATTGTCACAAAATATATAATATTTTTGAAACTTGAAGAATTATGTACACATCGGTAATAATTTGAAAAAAAAAAAACCTAATTGAATGTAATCATGTGTTAGTGTCATATAAGTGCAATACACCTAGGTCAATTTGGACTTATTTGAGCTTATCTATTAGATTCATTAATTTATTTGAACTTACTTTTATAAGTTCTCCAATATGACTTATGAAAACAGTTTGTAGCATTTATAAAAACAATTAAATTGATTTTATCTTTTGTTATAAAAATAGTTTAAGCAAACTTATTCATAACCACTTATTTTGATAAACACCTGTGCTTATACTGCAAATATACCGTATATCAAAACAAACGCGTAATGATTCGGACACTAGACATGTCTTTGATCGGAAGTGTCTGGTGTTATAAAGATTATGATGTTGTTAAAGTTTCATTACTTGACTTTTTGATTACCGATAATCGTAATTCTATAGTTATCCTCTCAATATATAAGAGTTATATTCTATTAGATATATTAAGACTTTGGGTTTGACTATGTTAGATTGACTAAGTCATCATTCAGTTAATTTGTTATGATAGTTAAGGAATTTAGTTAATTTGTTAAGTCACTTGTATTCTAGTATATAAGTAACTTAACCATTCATCTTGTAATTCAGTTCAACTATAATGAATTCAAGAAACATTCTGCATGCTTCTTTTCTTTCTACCCCTTCAGTTATCAGAGTAATACGCAAACTTGACCCCTATGGACCGAGTGATTTTTTATAATTAGTAGGAATCAAACTTGGTACGCGGACTTTACCCCTACGGGCCGAGTGTTTTTTTTTTTTTAATTAGTAGGAATCAAACGCGGTACCGGTGGTAGACTAAGATAAATTAAGAACTATTGATAAGAAAATACCATATCAACCAATTTGAACTCTAAAAAATAATATCAATTATTGGTATTTTAATTTTAACATATTCATGCATTTATTGTGCTTGTAAATGCATCAGTGACTAGGGAGAGTTTTTTTTTTCCATCAACTATTGATTCTACCCTCTAAATGTAAATAGAAAAGCAGGACCCATTTCAAAGTGGTAATGTAGAAATTGACGTTCTTACTTTATTCTGCTCATTTAACTACAGTGACTAAGGTTGCTGCCACGGATTTATCTCTTGCTGTCAAGGTGAGATTACCCTTCGTGTTCAACTCACAATCATACCTGGGTTTGCTATTATTGTTTCTATCTATATGTAATTGATCCTGAGACTTACCGACTTTCTGAATCAAAACTCACATTTTAACGGTTAACCTTTGATTCAGAAGAAAGCAGCAGATGTATCCCCTGAGTTGAAAGGCTCTTCCATATTTTTGGTTGGTAAGAATAGCTTTTAACACACGCAAATAATGGCTTTCGGCGTTTCTGGCTTATTGTGACTCGACATGATTTATTTGATGAAGGTATGAAAAGCTCTCTTAAAACCAATCTAGGAAAACAGCTGGCTGATGTATTGCGATATTATTATTTTGACAGGTATCTATTTGTTGTTTGGTAAAAGGTTTTATTTTAGATATAAGGTAGCTTCCAATTTTTATCTAAACTTGATGATTATGTACTCTGTTCAGCGATAATTTGGTGGAAGAGGCTATAGGTGGTGCATCAGCTGCAAAATCCTTCAAAGAAAGTGATGAAGCAGGCTTCAATGACTCCGAGGTAATTCATTGTCTCATTCTGATTTAGGGTCTGTTTGGATTTTGATTTAGGCAATTTGAGAGAACTTATAGAAACAACTTATACCATGACACCATGTTCTTGAGTTATTTTCAATTTGCGTTTGTTATAGAAATAGCTGATACGTAAGCAGAGCCGTCTTTGAGGGTATGCAAGACGACCTAGTGACCTACAACACAAGGCCTCACACTTTTTTTGATATTAAGCTATGGCAAAAAGGGCCTCCATACACAAACTCCACGATTATTTTACTGTTAAATAAGGCCCATTAAAAAAAATTTCACGACTCAACTCAAGCTAATTTCAGTTTTTTACACAAGGCCTTTCAAAAGTTTGAGACGACTGTGTACTTAAGGGGTTATGCTATAAGAACTTAACTAAGTTGTTTATCCAAACAGGATCTCACTTCATGTTTATGTACTCATCTGTGCATCGGAACAGTGTGATACTATCTATTCCTACCTAACAAATTTCTTCTAATTTGTTGAGCTGATGTGTTCTTCTTCTCGCTTAATTTCAGGATAAAGATGCTCATATACATCAATCATCTCTGATGAATTAGACTATAGGTTATACTTATGTTTTACATGTCAAATACTGCAGACTGAAGTGCTTAAGCAATTGTCATCTATGGGTCGACTAGTAGTTTGTGCTGGAAATGGTGCTGTTCAAAATAAAACTAATTTGTATGGGTTTAGTTGTGAACTCACTTTTCTACCTTTACTGAAGAGTAAACCGTTTTTTTGGGCATTGTCAATGCAGTCCTTGAATTTGACATAATTACAAAAACATCTCTGAGTGAGTTTGGTCGTCAAATGTGTCTTTTGTTAGTTAGTTTGGTATCCGGATATGTCTTCCGATAGACAATTTAGTCCTTAAAATCACATAACAGAAGACACACTCAAGGATGTTTTTGTAATTTCAATACATTCAAGAACTATAGTGACACTGCTTCACACATATAGAGACCAAAATGATAATTTGCTCTTTACAAAATGATATTTTTTTAAACTTCATTATTGTTTTAACATGCTCTTAAATTGTTATAGGGCACTCCTGAGACATGGGATTACATTGTGGATAGATTTTCCTTTAGACATTGTGGCCAGGGATGTAACCGAAAATCAGAGTCAATTTCCTTCATTTGAGATATCTACTTCAGGATCTTACCCAGAGGTTGATTTCTTACTGTTTAAGTTCAATCATAAATGTTTACAAGCTTCCATGTCCGGTAAATCTAAACCCTAATTGTTAATGTCTCCATTAAATGACATCAGGTAATGGATGAACTGGGTGCTATATACGATGAGTACAAAAACGGATACGCTGCAGCTGATGCAATTATTTCACTTGAAAGTATATATTATATAACCTTTCTGGGCAGTTTTACTTTTTTGCTGGCAAGGGGTGGTTTACCTCGACTCCTAAAATAACTTCTTTCTTTTTACAGAAGTAGCTTCTCGGTTGGGTTATGACAACTTAGATGACATTACAACAGAGGACATGACCTTGGAGGTTATAATTTTAATTAAGCGAATTTTGCTTTGATTTGAATTTTGAAGCATGTGGTACCAATATATTTGATATGCAGAATTTTTGCCATAATGACTTGGCATTGTTTCTAACTCTTGAGTGGATCTTCTTCACAAATTTTGTCAACATTTTAAGCCATTAATCATTATTTTACTTGCAAACTTTTCACAAATTTTAGGTTCTTCGGGAGCTTGAGAAGTTGACCAGAGTAAAGAGGATGATGGAAGAAGCTGCAAGGCCATTTTAATCAACCTGAGGGCATGTTTGCATTACGATTTCAAAATTCAAAAAGTAATTTTGAATTTATCTATTTGTTTACATTTGATCTTGTTTATTGGATGATCTGATGATACTAGTTTCATTTCCCCATTCATTTTCTTTACACACTGCTCATGAGTCATGACACACGCACACACACTCAGTGTTCCTCAACTTTTGCAGCTGCTATTTTCCATTTTCTTTCTCAACTTTTCTGCCAATTCTTCTATTTTCTTTTATTTCAATCGCTGAACCAACCTGAACCTATTCAATATGATTATGTTTTGTCAGTCAATAGTTGATGCATGATCCTTTATAGTTTTATCTTGATCAGCTATCTGGGTTGGCAATGTGTTTAAACTTTCCATCTTTGCTAGGTTTCTGCATGTTTCATCTGGTTTCACTCATTTTAGAGCTCCAACTTGGTTTTCTGTTCATGCAAATTGTCCAGCTATAGTCTCATGTCATCAACTTCAGCTTTTAAAGCCATGATCTCCATAGAAGCTCCGCTTTCATGCGCAATTGCTCCATTTTCATAGTTTTCATTCATCAACTGTTTAATGACTTGCCATTGTTACTAACTGTTCGATTGAACTTTACAAATTTTGATAAGTTTTGTCAACATTGTAGGCCATGTATCAATTTTGTACTTACAATTCTCCACTTTTTATAGGCTCACGAGGAGATTGAGAACTTGACAAGAGTAAAGAAGATGATGGAAGAATTTGCAAGACCATTATAACCAATGTATGCTTCCATTACCTATTATAAACTTCTAAGCTCTTAAAAGTATTTTTGAATTTACTAATTTGTTTACAATATATCTTGTTTATTCAGTTTCATTTCTCGAAACATAAAATTACTCCTTCATATACCTCCAATGCACCTGTTTATGCATACTTTTAGTCACTGATCAATTGATTTCTACACAAGAAGAGTGTTGCTTAACATGGTAAAATTTCATTCCTTACCTTCCTCATTTTATAACCCACATCATTCCCTAAAAAATGTGCAGATTCAATTTAGTCTTTTAGAAAAAGAGAGTACCTAAATAATTCCCCTGAAGGAGACATTAACCCCTCTGTTTATTTCAATCTATTAATGATTGTTAAAGTTGCCGATGCTTACAATTTACAAGCTTGTGGCAACCGCAACTTAGTTGATGCTCCTATTAGTGTTGGAAATTTCAATCTTCTCTTCGCGGCTCAATCCTTCCTCATCAATCACAGACATATCGTTTGTTTCCTATCGATGCATAGTATATGAAAGCACCATTTTGTTTCATTCTCTATTTGGTAACACGTGATTTTTCCAAGGAAAATCAACCATGATGACTTTTTGATGAGTGGTGTTGTGATTATGCTAAAACCAATTGGGTAGAATGATGTAACATATGGAAGAATGCAAAAGAAGGACTACCGGAGGGTTAATTTACGGGGAATCAACTATCAGTCCATTAAAACATCTATCCATCAAAAAAATATATTAGCAAAAACTCTAAATTGTCCGTTAATATTTTTTACACTACATTAAGGATTATTTCGTAATTATCTAAAGAATCAATTATTCTCTTTCTAAATCAACTACAATTTGACCGATGACAAAATGACTTTTCAAATTTTAAATTTTATACATTTTATTTTCCCACATTTTCTTACTTTCATATTAATTTTTTCTCTTTCTATTTTCTCTCTCATTTTATTTTTTCTAACACAATGTCTATTTTATTTTTAACCAATATTAATTGAGTTTATATCATCATTTTTTATTTTATAATTAAGTAATTAATTTCAAATTTACAAGTATATATAAATATTTTATACCCTATCAAATTTGATAATATTTAATAGTAATGCAAACAATTGATTTTTATCTCTCAGGTCACTATCAGCACAATACCTATTTTATTTTTAATCAACATTAATTGAGTTTATATGATTATTGTTCATTTTATAATTAAGTAACTTATTTCAAATTTACATGGATACCTAAATACGTTTTATACCGCATCAAATCGGATAATACTGAATAGCAGTGTTAGACAACTAATTTTCATTATCACATGTCACTATCAAAATAATATCTATTTTATTTTAATCAACAATTGTCTTTATTTTATAGATAAAGTCTTTAGTTTCAAATGTCAATTTTCTTTTTCTTTTTCCATCTCACGAATTCAATTTTTATTTTTGCACAATTATTTAATACAATTGAGTTTATATGATTATTGTTTATTTTACAATTAAATAATTTATTCAAATTTACATATATATCTAAATACATTTTATACCGTATCAAATTGAATAATACTTCATAGTCGTGCAAATAACTAACTTTCCATCTCACGAGTCACTATCAACACAATACCTATTTTATTTTTAATCAACATCAATGGAGTTCATATGATCATTGTTCATTTTACAATTAAGTAAATTATTTCAAATTTACATGTGTATCTATATACATTTTATACAATATCAAATTGGATAATACTCAACATTCATATAAACAACAAATTTTTCATCTTTCGACTTACTATCAACTCAATACCTATTTCATATAATTGAGTTTATATGATCAATATTTATTTTATAATTAATTAACTCATTTCAAATTTACATGTATATCTAAATACAATTTATATCGTATCAAATATATTTATCCGTGTGGATGCACAAGTATCTTGCTAATTGATCACAAAAATTATTGTCATGTTGGAATCATATTAGAAGGAAAATAATCAGATTCTTTCGGTTTATAATCATCTTGTTTTACGATTTTGACAAATTTATCACTGAAGAAATTATCAGGTCGAGTCGTAGACTAGGCCACACTATCTTTAAGGCGTTTCGCGATATTGCTCAAAGGTTTGCAAAAAAGTCACTCAACCATGACACCTCTAGGATAAAACAACTCAGTTTTATACTGTACGATTATTACTTGCATTGTAGATAATCGATCTAGAAATACACCTGTTGAAGAAATTACCAGGTCGAGTCGCATACTAGGTCGCTATCTTTAAGGCGTTTCACGACATTGCTCAAAGTTGTGCAAAATAGTCACTCAACTACGACACATCCAAGATAAAACAACTAAGTTCTATATTGTACAATTATTACTTACATTGTAGAAAATCGATCTAGAAATACACCCGTTGATTGTACAAAAATCAGTCAAATATGATATAAATACCACTCGTAGTATCTTATATAAAAATTAATCATAATAATTTCTCAAACTGAGAGAAATTCAAATAATTATCCCAAGAAAGTTCAATAATGATCATTTGACCACTCAAAATAATTTCTCAAACAAAGAGAAATTCAAGTAATTTTACAAAGAAAAATAAAAAATAATACTTGATAATTTCTCAACTCAAATGAGGAGAAGTTAAAATAATTCTCTAAAGAGAATTCAAAAGAGTACTAAAAAATTCAACGAGTAAAAAGAAAGGGGGAGAAATAAACACTTTGACAATTCAAAAGATGCGGAGTTATGGGAGTGAGAAAGGAAAAACTCAATAGAAATTTTTGGTGTGTTTTGAAATAAAATAAGTGATTTTCTTATATAGTGAAGTAAGCTAGCCAATGTATCTAATCAAAACAATGTGAGACAAAGAAATATTTTCAACTAACATACAAACACACTTATTTTTTTAAACAATGTGAGACTATGGAACTTTTTCAAATTCATCTCCATATTTAACTATTGACATGTTCCAACACTCCACCTCTTGAATTTAAAAAAAGTGTTTTAGAAGTAACGCCAAACATTTTTAAAATTGTGCATAAACAAAGGTGTCTACGACTTGAACCTTCGCGTAGCAAGTAGGATTCCGATTCAACATGAGTGACACAACTGTCTTGAACTCTATCTCAGACATCAAACCAGCACACAACTTTTTCTTAAGGTGTATTCTAAATTTTTTTGTACTTTAATGACCCTGCACATCTATCTTAGTTTAGTGAAGAATCTAAGACCCTGCACATCTACCTGTAAATTTCATAGGAACTGGCCTAAGTTCCATAATCACATAGGTGAGTCTATTAAGAGCACTCCTATAACTAGGTACTCCCTCATATATAATATATATCACATTAATAGTTTCTATCATCTCACTCTCCTCTCACTTCAGGATTCATGTTTATCTTATTTATAATAGCACAATCACCTCATATTACTCACAACTTGTTATTACCAATTGAATCTATTTTGTGATCTCCAGTCTATTTATTCAGGTTACCATCATGAGAAAATCATTTTAGGCATTAGTATCATCTGATTAGATCTATTATTTCTCTCTAACTAATCCTTTCATCAAAGGATCTGCTAAATTTTCATTAGTGTGTACATGATTCACTCTTAAAACTCCTTTCGAGATATAGTCTCTAATAGTGTTGTACTTCCTCTTTATTTGACGTTTCTTACTATTATATTAATGGTTCTCAATTTTTGCAATAGGTGTTGTACTATCACAGTGGATTAACACAGATGACATATGTTTTTTCCATAAAGGAATCTGATCTAGCAATCATCTCAACCAACTTACTTCTTCAATAGCTGTCTCTAGTTCTATCATTTCAGACTTCATTGCGGATGGAGCCAAGATAGGCTATTTCTTTGATTTTCAAGATACAACTCCCCTAACTATACTGAATATATATCCACTAGTTGCTTTAGAATCATCTGATAAGGTGTTTCAATCCACATCATTGTATCCTTCATGTACTACAAGAAATATATGATAATGTAAATCGAGATTCATGGTCTTCTTAAGGTATCACATGACTCTCTCAATGGCTTTCCAATGCTTACTGCTCGCTCTACTTATAAATATGCAGAATAATCCTACAATATATGCTATGTTGAGTCTAATACAATCAGTGGAATAGTTATGTCCACCAATGACCCTCGCATACTCAGTTTTTCTAATACTATCGACAATGTTCTTAACTAGTTCAACACTAGGATCGTGTATTAGCAGGTTTA